TCCTTTCATTTATGTGATAGGGCTGCATTTAAAATGGACATTTACCACAAATTAAAGTTATCTTATATTATTAGATATATTATTATAAAACATGTTTTGGTTAAGGAGTTATTGATACTTCAAGTGCAAAATGATGATATAAAACCATGATAAAAATGCACTTTTAAGTACTAATCAACGTGCTAGGAGAAAAATGTAAAAAACACTTACACATCATTTTTTCTCTAATTTACTCACACACCTTATAATTACATGTATTTACAACCATCCCCAAATATCAATCAATATTACAACCATTCATTAAAGAAATAATTTTTCAAAGTTAGAATTGGTTGGAGGAGCTGCTGAAACCTCGGGAACAACACTATAGGAATCTAGAACCCCCCCCCCCCCCCCCCCCCCCCCCCAACCCCCCCCCCCCCCCCCCCCCCCCGCCACTTTTGGCTCTTTGGCTCAAGTGTCATTGCTACTAAAATGAAAAACTTGGTGGCTCTGAAGTGTTTTCTTCTTTTCTTTCTCTTTGCACTGGTGATGAAAGTCATCTCTACTTGCAAAAAATAAAAAAATCACATAAACAATCAATTTTATTTTCTTCATTTTTCCATCTACATATCTATTTCCTTTTCTATTGGTTTTCATCACCACCAATCATTTCCATGGAATGAGGCAGGCTATCAGTATTGTGTGTTGACCATCAGTGTGATGAGGTTGTTGTTTTGCTATGAAATAGAGAAGAAAAGTGTAAAAAAAAAAGAAGTTGATCATGGATGGTGTATGGTTAATGTGGTTGCCCATAAGAAAATTGACAAATGATAAAGAGAGGCTACTGGAGCTAACGGAAAAGCTACTCACGCTGGTTGTGGTTAAGATTATGGTGGCTCATAATATTGAGTTGTGGCGTTGCTGAAGATAAATGGTTTCCAAAGAAGGAGATCTTGTGGTGTCCATGGATTGTATAGAAGAGGATCTGTGGAGATCATAAAAGAGAAAGGGGGGAGATCATGAACTGTGGGTTTTTTAGTTGGTTTCAATGGTGGTGCAAAGGTGAGAACAATAAAATGGTGGGTAAGGCTATGGTTTGTGGTTATGCAGAAGAAAGATTGTTATTGGACTGTCAGTGCGGTTGAAGGAAAGTTTATTGGTCTACTATAAAAGAGGCTGGTTGATGGGTCACGACCGCTGAAGAAGAAAAAAGACCTTTTGCGTTTTGTTCGTTTCTCTTTGTATGGTGTGCTAGTGAGTGTGATGGAAGGTGAAGGATTGATAGAGGTTGGTAGGTATTGTTGTAAAAAAAGTTATAAGGTTTTTTTTAAGTTAGACAGAGAAAGAATTCTTTTTTTTGTATTTTTTATGTATTTTTAGTGTCCTTTCCTTAGTTTTTTTTTTTTTTATAGTCTGCCTCTTTTTTGAGATTTTATTAGTTAACTATAGGCAAACTAATTTTGTCTCTTTATCTAATTGCTTGATGCCTAAGCAACTTGGTTTTTTTTGGTCCCTTCATTTTCTTGCTTTTCGCTTTAGTCCATTTTTCCTAATCTTTTACATTTATATTTTTTTATTTTGATGTTTTTTTTAATAAAAAGACAATGTCAATGTCAACTCGATGAGAAAAAATTAATCAACAGCTTTAAAATGGGTGTGTTAATACATAAAAAAATCATGAAGCCTAATTTTCAGCAAGTCAAATGCTAAATGATCAAATTTGAGAAAAAAAATCAATTATAAAAAAAAATAAAGGTAATTGAAATAATAAGGATGAAAATTGAAATTAAAAATAAAATAGAGAGCAACCAAATTTTTTTATTATATGGTTAAATTAAAAAGAAAATTAACTATAACAAAAGAAAACAATTTAAAAAATAAGGACCAAATTAAAAATAATAATAATAATATATGACAAGTTAAAATTGAATGACTAAATTAAAAATAACTAAAAATTTTATTAAAGAGCTAAGAATAAAAATTAATTATAAAAATAATAAGAACTGAAATTAAAATACCAAAAAAATAGAAAATCAACTTGTAATTTTTCAGGCATGAGAGACAAAAAAAATAAAAAAATTATTAGCAATAAACAGTTACATCTTCATTGACACACATCGCACCACTAAAAAGAGGGTGTTAACGCACTTCTAATATTATCACATATGAAATAGTGTTTGATAATCTTATGATGCTGTCAACATGTGCTAACCAAAAGGTTTGGACGGTGTTTACTAGCAACCTTTTCTTTTTAATAATGTTTTATCATTGATAAAAGATGAAATTGCCATTAATCCAACATTAGTATTACAAAAATGGTTAAGAGTAAAAAGACCAAAAGGCCCCTGCAATGAAGTGTTAAGTTTTTTTTATTCCGATGGCATTAAGTAATTTAATTGTGATTAAAAAGTAGAAAGACTAAATTACCTCTTATTCAACATGAGTATTAAAAAAAAAAAACAAGAGTAAAAAGATTATAAAGCCCCTACAATAAAATTTTAGTTTTTTTTATTCTAATGGTAATTAAGTAATTTAATTATATTTTAAAAAACAGAAAAAAACACCCAGATACTATTTCATTATTTTTTGCTTTCAAGAGTTTTTAGTCATTACACTGTTTCTAAACAATGCAAAAGGATGATCTTACCTCTTCAGAGTTTCAGTGTTAATTGTTTGTGTGTTTTGGTAAGAAGGTGTCACATAAGGCGATTTGCTTGGCTAACTGTGTCATTCAATTTTTAATATTAAAAAAAATTAATTTAAAAAAAAATCAAAATTGTAGGTTTTCTCAAAAAAAAAAGTGCATAATTAACCACATAAAAAAGGGCTGTGTAAGAACTTCAAATACATTGTAGTTGTTCATTTATTCACTCAAACAAAAGTATTAAGTTGCTTGATCAACACTCAGTCAAAAGGAAGAAAAGAGTATCTGCCGAACATGGGATGCAAGTTGTTTACCATCACAGCTTGCTTACTATACTGCGAAAGGTCATGGCAAGCGAACAGAGTGAGACCTAGCTAGTGGTGGTTTGTTCTTAATAGCTGCCCTACTTCCCACATGCCTCTGTGTGGAACTCACTACTCTTTGTCCCTCTGTAAGCACACATTTTACCGGATGTGGCCCCACACTTACCGCCTTCTCACACCTACAGTTCATCAACAACCCTCCATTCCCTCCTCTCTTCTTCCCTGCTCCTCCGCCGCCGCCGCCGCCGCGCATCATTGTCATTTCATCAACTTCTGATGCACTAACTGAGAAGTTTGTAACGCTTCCTCTATCAAGGCCTTCTGCTGTTGTCACACTCCATTCTATGCTAGCCTCGCTTGGCTCATAACATTCTGTTGCTGCAACTGATGGTGTTCTAGGATCATCAAGACTTCGTCTACAATACAAACTCCCTCCATTGGTTGCAGCTAATCGCCTTGCGTTAAAGCTTGAAGCATCATCAAGAGAATCACGAAGATTAGGACACATTGCATATGATGTTGTTTGAGTTGAAAAGCTCTCGATCTCAAACAAGTCTGAACTTGCATCACTTGCCATGTCATCATCTATAACTGTGAAGCTTTGACGTCGGTGAAGATCAGAAATTGACTTGGTTGGAATAGGATCATCAGCTGGCCGAAAAACTTCCAACGAATAGCGAGGTGGATCCTCAAGAGGAGGGTTATAAGTAGCTGATGGCAACGCCAGTTTTATAGGAGGTGGGGTTTGGCTCTGTACAGGAAAACTGAACCCAGCAGTATCAGTACTGAATGGTCCTGCTGAGGCCACTACAAGTTGGTGGCTTAAGCCTGAAGGGAATCGGTTGTTGTCAGCAGTGTCAGTACTGAATGGTCCTGCTGAGGCCACTACAAGTTGGTGGCTTAAGCCTGAAGGGAATCGGTTGTTGTCTGCTGAGATTCGGTGAGAATTAGGAATCACTTCACGTCTTTCGAGCTTGTTCTCTAATGAGATTCTATGAGTGCTAGGAATTACTTCACGCCTTTCGAGCCAGTCCGATGCAGCCAAACTTTTTTCAATAGGATTTTCTACAGTGGTAGGAATTTGATTCTGAATCTTCTTTTTGAGATCCGAAGAGACTCTAGGGTGGCTTATCCGCGATGGGGTTCTTGCTTCTGATAGCTTTTCCTCAATTTGAACAGATTTCTTACCTGAACATGGACATTTTCTCCCAAGAAGCCATTTTGTGCCGCACCCCTTTTTCTTGTCATCGTTTCGAGCTGGATTTCGCATCGAGACAGCGATAGCACCAGGTGGATTCGACAATAAGCCAGTCTGGCTATTCCAACTAGCTTCAGATGAAGCTGTTGGCGTTGCGTGGAAAGAGCGAGCTCTATAATTCCTACCATATCCATCCACAACAGAAGATGAAGCAGAAGAAAATCTAGGAACCGAAGAGAAATCATATCGCTCGGATATGCGTTCAAGATTAGCATTAACTGGAGAAAATCTCTTGTTCAATTTGGGATCACAGCTGCCACTTTCGTTGAAGTAATAACTCTGCGCATCAAAAATGCGTGTCTCAGAATCATCAACTCGATTAATCTGTTCTGGCGTCGGTCTGAGATAAGAAGAAAAGGATGCATCTCTAACAGTTGATTTTTGTGGATAAGAATGGTAAGGATGAGTGGGTTCAATGATGTCAAAAATTGGCTGTGGAGGTATGCTTCCCGCGGCAATAGTTTTCGTCACTCTCGATCTTTCCATACTAAAATTCACACTCCTTTAACCAAAATTCAAATCCAATTGCACACAGAAGTATGAGAAAAGAACAGTACTAGTAGTAATAATATCATGGGCTGCCTCTGGAATTCCCTTTGTTCTACTATTTGTAGAGAGGTACAACACATCCTTCGTCTACAGCAAGAATCAATAATAAAGCCGTAAAATGTTCCCACCTAGTCTTATAATTTAGCAGTTACACTCTCTCTCTCTCTCGTCTTTTTCTTAGGGGACGGGAGATAAGAAAATAGTGGTCTTCACACCTCGTCAAGAAGCATCGCGTCAGGTCCCACGCAACATATTCTCGAGTGACATGGGGATTAGTCACAGTTTCAGCACCAACCCCTTACCTGATTATGTCAAGACTCGAACCCAAGCACTGAGCTAGGAGAACATTGCAGTTTTTCTTTGACACGATTCGTGTTCTTTTACGACAAAGGCCAGCACCAACCAGGCACAAAATGTACAAAAACTATAGGCATATCATGTTAGATTAAAGGTTTGCCATGCCCTACATGCACGTCTACCGAAATCAATCAACATCTCTAAGGATTGGGGTATGAACAACAAGGACAGTATATAATAATGTCAACATGATGTCTTCCATCAACCTTTATTCCTAAATGTCAAGCAAACCTGACCCTCCCCAGTTCACATACACATTCCTCTACCGCTGGTGTCCATTGTCACTTGTGGAAGTTGCCTCCATGAACAGAAACATTAACTCCACCAAACGATATACTATCCACATGATGAGAGAGACATAATTTGCGCACACACGTACAAAAGAAGCAATGAAAAGGGGTGGTTTTATCTGGAGCACTATAGGACATAAATTTTCTTGGAAGTTTATTCAACTAGGGATTGTCCCAAATCTCTGTATCTTTATTTTATCACTTATTAAATGGAAAAGAAAAATGGATTCTGTGCTTGATTTGAAACCAGAAACTACTCCTTTAAAAATGGAACGATGGGGTTTTGAATATAAAATGCATATCCTAACATTGTTTTGAGATTTTGAAGGTAGAAATTCTCTAATCAGTTTAACTCCACACACCGAAATTAAATCCCATCTTTGATTGAAATCCAAACTTTGAAAGATAGGAAAATCAAAACGAAAAGAGGTTCATTGGTCAACCCATTGTAAAGGATCAATGATTTGGTAAGTTAGTGGGTACTGCATCCATCTCTTTCTTTAGGGTTTGCAAGCAACAAGGTTCAACCTTTATTCACTTCTTTACTATAGGAGCCAAACTTGAACATGGATTCTCTTGTTAAACATGCCTGCACTCTGACTTCATCCGGAATTGGTTTGGAAACCAACCTCGGTTTAATAAGCAATTAAGGAACATGATTGAATGGTCTCAGGTTTGAACTTTGGCTCATATTGCACCGGTGATCAAGTGACTACAGCCAAGTAAAATAAAGCAGGATTGATTTGGCAATTCGAATATATCATTTGTGGCCAGTGAAATTGTGTGAGCGTCGAAATCTGGTCCCACGATGCCAAAATATATGTATATATATCAAAGAGAAGTCCCAGGCACGTAGGCTTAGTAAGAAGATCAGCACAAAAGAAATTTCGAAGACATCGAAAAAGAAAGAAATCAATATAGTATCAAATATTCATCTTCAACCAGACAAAGGAAATACCGTGGACAATTGATCAATCAAGGGAATTAAACTAGCAGCAAAGCAATGTCACAAGATTCAAAACACACCAATTGAAGGGAAAAAAAAGTCATTAAACAGATCAACATGACTGCAAATGAATAACCACTGAGGATACCAGACCGACCTATCATCCTCTCTAACTTCCCATTCTCCATGTAATTGGTATATCCAAGTTTTATGCCATTTCGATTGCGAAAACTTCTCTTCCACTCAATGAGAAGGAATCCATTTTGGTGACAAACAACATCACCTTTAGTGCAGTTTTACAGAGCAGTATCTTTACAAAATGCTAGAAAATCAAGAATCTAACAGCAAGAGGGCAGCTATTCTGAAAATCCTAGGTTGTAGGAGCCAACTGCCTCAGCTTTGCCTGTAAGATTGCCCCTGCTTCATCTGCTACAGTCTTCTTTTTAGTTGCAAGCTGCAATTAAGTATTTCAAATTTAGCCTTCCCATCACTGAAAGATTAGCAAGCAGCAGTGATAATGATATCAAACCAAGACAAAGATTGCAGGCTCAATTTCCAATAAAGAAAAGAAAATGCATTTTAATCCCCTCAATTAGGATTATAATGTTTAACTTGATGGACTGCCTACTTTCTTCCCAAAATACTTCTTCTGACACAAGGGATTAATGAAAATCAAAACTTATCATCAAGAACAGTCCTAAACAGGAAACCTCTCAGCTCTCCAATCTTATGTGAAAAGCAACAGTGACCAGATGCTGGCATGGTTCATTGTCAGAAAACCAGTATACACGGGGTTTAGAATTCATTCTAATTCAAATCACAACACATTCCTTTGAAATTGCTGTAATTCTTGCATGTCAAGGCATGAAAGAACATCATGAAAGGGACATTGAGGAACCAGGCGTAGAATGGTGCAACTAAACATGTTGCAAATGGATTTCAGCTGACAAAAACTTCAGGCAAAGACTGGCAGACTATTAGCATTGTGCGGTTCAATCCACAGTTATGATGCACTAATGCAGGTTTTAGCACCATAATAATCAGTTACGAACTCCATCAAACTGCTAAAAAGGTTGCTTTTCAAAATACCATAGCACTCCCCAGCGAGCAGAACAGGTTTAAGTAACAAAACTAAGTGTCCTGTGCTAAGATTTTCAAATGTAAACAATTCTCAACATCCTTAACACAGAGATATGATCGAAAACATACCTCAATAAGCAGAACAAACCTAGACTTCAACAAGGCAATCTTGCGCTCGCAATAATCTTTCCCTTCATTCATTGTTTTCTATTATCATAACAAACAAAGAAAGAAACAAAGAATTTAATCAGGTTAACGCAATCCAATACATTGCTAATCCACTAAATGAAATTCAAAAAAGCCATCAAACTTGTACCAACTAACCTCAACAAAATATCCAGTACCAATATCAACAAGAACTCTATCAGCATCATCAAGTGTACCAGGTACATAAAGTGAAGCAGTTAATGGCACCAACATCTTCTTTCCTAATTTTCACAAAAACCCCCCACAAAACAAAACCCACAAAAGCACACAAAGAAATCATAAAGACCCAATCTTCGACCTTCAAGACAAGCAAGAAAAATCAAAACTTTAACACGGAAGCAATAAAGGGTTTACCTTGGGGACGGTGAGAGAGGTCATTAAGTGAAGTGGCGGCGACTTCAAGACGACCAGTGGCTGTTTTAATGTTGTTAAGACTGTCTTGTAAGAGATTGAATTCAAGATCTACTTGTTCTTTTACTGCTTTTAGTTGTTCTATGCTCATTTTCTCCATATCTGATGCTCTCGCCGCCGCCGGACTGGTGGCTACTCCTTTTGACGAAGCCATGGTGGTTTTTGTTGCCTTCGACGTTTTTCTTGTGTGGTCACTCCTCTTAATTGAGGTCTCTTTTACTCTCTTGTGTGGCCCGGTTTAGTTGGGTGGGCCTTAGGTATAATAGATAATATATAACACAAACCATTCACGTAAGGTGCCCCTATAGCTCAGTGGTAGAGCGTCAGTCTTGTAAACTGAAGGTCTGTAGTTCGATCCTGCATGGGGGCACTCTCTCTTTTACTTATGCTTATTCACATAATTCTTAGGTTTAATATGCGGCCCATTAATAATGGGCCCATGACTAAATGGGCTCATCCTCACCAGCACGCGTGGGAATTTTTTGTGTCAATTTAATAAATTAAAGCCCGAGCTAATTCAATGTGACAGGATCATACCATTTTTCTCAGAGCATTAAAAATGGACGACCCTATCAATTATTAGCTTATCTTTAAACCTTTTTGGCTTGCACTGATCCAAACAAACACGGCCAAGTACAAATCTCGACGCGACAAATGGATCCTATTCTTTTCAATTTTTCAAAATATACCCTCCTCCCGCTATAACTATTGCCAGTTTGTTTTTACATATTTTCAAAAGAAATTCAAAATAATATTTTTACATATTTTTTATTTTAAAATAATTTTTAATATTTTTATATTATTTTTGTGTTGATAATAAAAATAATTTTTAGAAAATAAAAAATATTATTTTAATACAAGACAAGAAAGTAACAGTCTTAATTAGTTTGTTGCACCTACCACTTCCCTCCTTGTCCTCAAAGGCAACATCAAAGTTTGATTCGTGTCGTCCTGTGTTATCCCTTGTCTTTAATATTGATTGCCACACGCAACTCGACCACTCCTTCAAAACCAGCCGTGGAATCCTTGGAAGCTGAAATTAAATCACTCCGAGCATTGGCCTTTCACAGCATGACTTTGATTACAATAATAATAATAATAATAATAATAATAATGGCCACGAGTTCACAAATGAGAGATGCTGTCTAAATATAAATTCATGACTGGGAACTACAGATGGGCTTGTTCTGGCAGACCTCAAATAGATGGAGCAACCGGAGATTCATTAGGCAGTTTGAAAAGGTAAATTTATAAAAAGAAAGAAAAAAGCTATAAACTTTAGATTTTTCATCATCAAGGTTGCGAGAAAGTTTTTGATGGATCCATCCAAAATTAAGCTAATCATCAAATACTTTTAAAATTATAATTAGAACAGAATGCAATTTCAACTACACCTTATAAAACATGTCATTGAATCCATAAACTCAACTTCCCACTACTTCTTCCTTAATAACGATGATATGATGCTCCCAGTAGAAGTATTAGTATATTGGTCTATACTTTGCATGGATCAGTAGAAGTATTAGTATATTGGTCTATACTATACTTTGCATGGATGAATATTAATTTTAAAAAATATATATAAAAAAATATTAAGAGTATAAAAAATATTTTATGTATTCTAGATCTGGCATCAATATCAAACTTATGTCTTATCAAACTCATGTCTTGGTCTAGTAATCATATCAGTCCCAAGCAAACAACAAACAAAAAAATAATAATTGTGCATTTTAGTTGTCAAGAGAAAAGAAAAAATAACAAGAAAGCAACCATGGAATCCATGAAATGTCTACACACACCGCACTATATGGAAAAGGACACAATTGCATATCTATTTATACAGTGAGTGACATATTTGACCACTAGAAAGTATCTTATGCGCCTTCTTAATGGTTTGAGCGTCGCTTACTCACCAGGGCATATAGAACACGTGTTTGGCATAGCTACGAGACCTACACGACTTGAGTCTGATAGCCATATCAGACCCGCACCAAGGTTTGATGGTCATATCAAACCCCATCTAGATCCGGCACCAAACATGGTTATCAGGCTCAAGGTGCTTAGACCTGACAACCTTGAACCTGACAACCATACCAAACCCAAATGTTATGGGTCTAGCAACGAAGCCAATCCTAAGGTTTCTGGATCCCGTAACCATGTCAGACCTAAGATGCTTGAATCTAGCAACTCATGTCAAACCCAAGTAAACAATAATAATAAAAAAAAAACAATTATGCTCGTTAATTGTCAAGAGAGAGAAAAAAACACAAACAATCAATTATCAGCGACAATCCAATCATAATGTCAACACGCATTGCACCATGTGAAAGAGAACACAGCTGCGCATTTATTTATACAATAGATAGCCAGATTTGATATCCAGAAAGCGTTTCACACGCCTCCTTAATGACTTAAGCACCACCTACTCGCTAGGGCGTATAAAACACACACCAACAATTTTTCTATTAGAAAATAAAAAATACAACATGAAAAATACTAAAACACCTCTCATAATCCTCTTAATCACACAATATATCCATATAATTTTACTGTCACAGCACATGATAATCTATTTCTAGAGCTATAGTAAAATTCCTTTGTCATTTAGCTTTCTTTATGATTTGCCCAACTACTACCGGTCTGCATGAAGATACAGGAAAAAGATGAAAAGTAGCATCTTACAATTGATACAAGACATGGATCCAAGCAATAAACTGTCGAAGAAGACGTGGGATGATAATATCGGATACAACACCTGCGATGACTTGAACAGAAAATGAAATCCTTGAAGGAAATGTGGATCCCAGGCGAAACAAACCAGTTTAACAAGAAAATGATATGTAACATAATCTATCGCAACCGTCAAAACACAGCTTGCTAGCATGAATTTTCCACCTGCTCATTAATTAGTGATGGGAGAACTCCCCTCTTCCACGCAAACTTTTCAAAGTTACTAGCAATAATCGCTTCAAAGAACTCCATGGATTGTTGGGTAGAAGATTCAAATATGAAAAGAACAAGCCGAGAAAGCCAGATTAAGTAATGTGGATTAAACTTATTGATAGCATAATGAGTTGATATATACATCGAGCAAAAGGCAATGGCACACAAGCAACAGATTGAATTGAGAGAAACACATGGGTTTCTTATTCACACAACAGTCACCTGAAAAACAATCCACTTACATACATGGAACACACGTTATTATCACACTAATTGATCAGAGAAATGGCTAAGAATACTGGTAAGTTTTGAAAATGCGGTCTTACAAAGAGGCACCCAAGTTTCCCCCACACACAGCAGTCTCCTTTGAGATCAATACACCAACACATACCCTGAAAGCCCCCTAATAAGAGCACACATCAGTCTCCTTTGAGATCAATACACCATCACATACCCTGAAAGCAGAAGAGTGCAAGAAGCAGTTTGCAACCACCGTGGCAAATCACAAGCTAAGCACCGAAAGAACCACCACTGTTGTCATCAAACCATATCACAAATTGCATCAAACGATATCATCTCTTCATCCTCCATGGGAGCAAAGGAAAATTCAACGAATTTGGGGAGACTAGAAGTCCAGAATTACAGGGCGTCGTCAGATAAAATACAAAGCAAGCAGAATAACACCCAGAAAACTCCACTTTTCCATTGTATTGATCACCCAGCTATTGAGACAAAACATGACATTGCTTCAAACACACATTTGCAAGCATCGTGTCACTCCATGGAAAAGAAAGCCAGATGTCCACAATAGGAAGAACTCACTAATAGCATAAAGCACTCAAACTTCTAGCCAAACTCTGACAAGTTTCTCCCAAAATAAGAACACAAAGCCTGATATAGATTTGCGCCAGACTCCCCTAATCCATTATGATAAAAACACCTTAGCAGCTTCAGCCACAGAATTTGAATCACAAAACCATAATTCTTCACTCCACTCCTCCTCCATCAAAACCCCCAAGAACCTAAACAATTTGAACCCTACAAAGCCCTAATTAATCTCCAAACAAACTTACTACAAAGAACCCCTAATTAAATTCATGCATTCATTACTTAAATTCTCCCAAATCCTAAACCCTAACCCTAATCTTCACTAAAATTCTTCTCGTCCATCTTCACACACAAGCAAAAAAAAAAAAAAAGCTCCAATTTAACATAACAACATTCTTATAATATATACCATACACCAACACTACCAAGATCCCATTTCTCCACATTCAACGGTGATCATCCTCTCTCCTTCCTGAACTTCCATGTCCACTCGACAAAGAAGCCAGCAAATTCAAATGACCAGGAAGATAATTCCCCACTCTTGCCGCCGACGCTTCTCCCATAGCCGCAGCATGCTGCTGGTGCATAAACAGTGAAGACTGCTGCACCGCAGTCGGCTGAACAACCATTTCCGGCGGTGCAGCAGCAGCAAACCCCCAAAAATCGGGCCTGGCAGGTAAAGCCCAGAACCCACCAGGCCCTGCTGTTGCTGTGGGGCCCATTAATGACCCAATTGTGGGGCCCACAGAAACCCCATCATCGTCCTTCCCACCACCATTACCATCCTCCTCCGGCCGCATCCTTTTCCCAAGTATAAACGGCGCGGGGCCTAACAAAGGCTTGTGCTCCAAAGAACCAACCGGATGAATATTAGTGCTCGAAAGAGAAGATATAGAATTTGAATTCCCACCAGCACGAACCGAAACAGAAACAGTAGAAAAACTAGCAGGAGTAGTTCCAGTACCAGTAGCAGCAATAATCGAAGGCTCAGCTTGACGAAGTAGCCATTCAATAGTTTGTCCATCGGACTTATGACCCAATTCACGAGTCAACTGAAAAACTCTAGCAGCACAAATGATCGGCATCCGAATCCTCCTTCCACGACCATCAACTTTGCTATGACGGTCTTTAGAAGGTGGTTTTTTAGCAACTAAAGCTCCATTAGTAACTCCTCCTCCTCCTCCTCCTCCACCACCACCACCTCCAGGTGGCTGGTTTCTTTGTGGGTCTACCAAAGATCCGTTATTTACAGCGCCACTGTTGTCTGACATGGTGAAGAAGATTGAGGGAGCTAAAAATGGTGGGCTTGTAGAGAGAGAAAGGATGGATTTTGCGGGTTTTGAGAGCAAGAGGGTTTTTGGAGGAGGGGAGGAGGAGGAAGGGGGGAGAAGGAGAGAGCTAGCTAATCATTGAGCGGCAGGAGCTGGTGGAGACAGGAAGGAGGGC